CCTCCAACAAGAAGTCAAAATCCAGGTGAGCTCTGGTCCTTGGAAGGAGAGCAGATACACACACACACACAATTCCGGAAGCCGATATCCTGGGTAGTCAAGTTCAGGCTGAATTTGTTAGCACCAAACCACTTAAACTGAGGGGATGGTTTCTGCACAGTGAGCAGTATTTGGTAGAGGTGAAGGGTTTTCTAAAATGTTTGAGAAAATGGGAGAGGCTTGGCATGCCCCTGCCCCCTTTTCTAGAAGCAGCCATAGAAGGAAAACTATTTGCAAGAACTGCTTGACTGTCAGCTGGAAACCTGGTTGTTTTCTTAAAATGGTGGTTCCCAAAGTGGGCATTATTGCTCCCTGGGGAGCAGTGGGATTACTTGGGAGGCGCTAAGAGGCAAGGGGTGGAAGGGGTTGGTGGTGGTGTCAATGACAATCAGACTCTGAAAAGTTGGTATGACAATATCAAGCTCATCACTTTTGTTGAATTAATGGAACTAAATGGTTACTATTTTGAACTTTATTGTGCTGCTGTCATCCTTGGTGGGTTGTGAAAACCTCTGTTCTGAATGCTGCTTTTTCGTAGTTTATGGAACCAAGGGGGAGGTGGCCCAATTTTGGGGAGGAGCCACTGTCTTAAACAGAACAGCCTGGCCATCCCAAAGCAATGTAGTCGGTAAGGTTTGGTAGTAATTAGCCAATTCTAAAGCAGATTGTCCCACGAGAAGCCAATAATTCATCATTCAGCTCTACGAAATGGCTTTCCTTTGTTTATCCCCGTTTTGAGAAGCTCCTCTCTTGAACCGTCACACATTCTTCTGTTTTCCAGGCCTAAAACGGGAAGGAAATCGGGTGGCTCTTCGTCCAGTCCCTCTGGGTCTCAGCTCTACCCTCAGTCTCGTGGGCTGGTCCCCAAGTAAAACCAGTTCCCTGCTAAGGTGTGGCTGTGCAGCAGCTTTGCCTTCCGAGAGCTGAGGCAAGCAAAGGACCTTTGGAGGGGACTCTGTGGCCAGGCTCCAAAGCGATTCCCTTCGAGATGAAGCAATGGCCCCCTCCGCAGCTGAACTATTGTTTTTTGTCCAGCCAGGCGTGTTCCAGGTGGGCTTCCGTCCTCCACGATGGAATTCCATGTCCCTCTGGCATTTGGTCTCCAAGGGGAAAGAGACTTTAGTTAGGAAATCAGAAATGCATGAGAATACATTAGTGTTAGATGCAACAAGAAGCCTGGAGGGGGGGTTGTCACCTTGCCATCTCCTGCTCCTCTTCCTCTTACAGTCTTCTTGCTGCACTTGGTTTGCCTGCCCTTGGGATGGAGCCCAAAGCCATCTCAGCAGGACCAGCATTCTGGGACTTGATGATGCTTAATAATCTAGTGAGGCTGAGAAGCGACCGCCCGTGGCAGAAGATCCATTTCCTTTCTTTCCATCGAAAGACTGGCACCATTGGAAGGGTTTTTGTTTTTGGGGGGGGGGCGGGAAGGGGTACAGGTGGACGTACCTCCATTCCACAGAAGACATGAGAGCGAATGCACCCACAGCTACTTAGACATGTTTCCTTTTTGAAATGCAAGCGGAAGGAGGGCTTTGAAAACCTGCTCTCTCTCTCTCTCCTCTGGAACAGAAGCAATAGAAACTTAACAAATCCTTTGCCTGTTTACAAAGATTGGCAAGAGTTGTCCTAGGCGGAGCTCCTAGAGACTTAAGCCATGACCGGCAAGGTCCACTCTGTGCAACAGTCAGCGCTGTGCGCCAGGTGCCAGCTCCGCATTTAGCACTCTTCCTCTGCTCACCATCCGATTTCTCCCAGTGCGCTCCACCAGGCACCTCTGCTTTGAGGGAACGCCGCGGCAGTTCCTTCATTGTCTTCCACTGTCCGCGTGGCCTTTGTGACTTCTGGAGGTTGGTTCTGCTTTCCGCCGCAGAGGGGTGGAAACCGAAGCGGTTCCTTGGCTGAGCTCCCTCCTGGCCGCTGCAGAACGTTCCTTTTGTGAGCAGAGGCTTGTTTCAGACCAGAGTCGCTGCTTCTCATCTTGTCCAAAGTGGTAGGATCTTTCAAAGTGTTCTGGGCCCCGAATCTTCTGTCGGATGGGAATGGGGTTTAAGGTTTGAGTTTGAGGGGAAGGCACCACTGCCCGTTCCAGTGGTGAGGCTTGTGCTAGAACAGTCCTGTTTCTTCAGAGTCTCTTCTTTCTCCTTGCCCCAGTTCCAGAGCTGCCCTGTGCAGTGTTTGGGGCGCAAGTTGCTGCTGAATTGGGCCAGGTCAAAAGGCTGAAGAAGGTGCCCCCTCCGGGTATCGTTTTACGGTTCAGTTTGTACGTTTAAGATTGATGTATATTGAGAATTCAGTTGTTAATATTTTATTTTGGGGTTGCTGTTGACTGTTGTACTGTGAATATTTCCCCCACCCCACCGGCTTCCTCTCTGAATGTTTTAACGGCCCTCCTCTCCCTAGACCCTGCTGTGGGTGCGAGTGTGCATGTAGGTATGTATGAGAACTTGCTTGGTTATAGGAATACTCTCAAATGCGTATGGCCTTTGCCTTGTTGCCCTTATGTCAAACATTCTCTGAGCAGGCCTCTCCAGCTGCACTGACTCCATGGTTTCTCACCCACGCGAGCAAGGACAACCCAGACAGGCCATCCTAACAGCCCAGAGCTACTCCAACAAGCCCCACTGCTTTGGATTCTGGGCAGTACCTTTCTGGAATGAGGCCGGTTTTTCTGTTTTCAAAGTATGACTTCCGTGGAGTGGAGCTGTCTGGCCCCTGGCTGTTGCGTTGGCCAGAGGGAACCTGTATCGCCTCCCTTTCATGGTGAGATTGGCCACTCTTGACAAAAATCCTCTTTTCTTGGCTCCTGCGCTATCAAAGTGCTCCCACCCCCATCCGGTTCATCTCTGTTGTTTTGATCCCCACTGCTTTGTTATTTAAGAAAAGGATTGTACGGCTTAGATACTGAGGTGTGCTGGTTGTGAATCCAAAGAATTGTTTAGGCAAAGGTACAGCGTCTGTGGGCTCTGCCATTGTATTGGGCTTCTGCTGGGAAACGTCCAGGGGGGAGAACCAGAGGGGGAATATCCTAGGCGATGCTTTGCGTGTAAGAATCAGGTAGGCAGGCCAGTGCCTCAAAGATTTCTCCAGGCTAGCTTGGAGAAAGCCCTGGGTTAAGGATACAAGAGAGAGGAATGAGAAGCAGGCGCAGATAGAGCCCTCAGTGCTTTGTTTATAATGTGATTCATAACTCCTCTCCCCTTTCCTGACAAGGGGCTCTTCTCTTAAAACTGACAGAATTATCCTGATACAGCTGATCTGCCTGTCTGAGGTCCAGCGTGAAAGAGAAACCCATTAAGGCCTAGGAAATGATGAGTGCAACCACATGGGAGCTAGCTTGCAATGTCTTTGTCTTTCCTTTGATCTGCATAATTGGATTAGCTTTTTCTCTCCCAAACATAATTCAGCAAAAGTAGCTCTTGAGGTCCAGGGCCCAAACCTTGAGGTCCACGACCATTGAAGCAGTTTCTTTAAAAGCTTTATGTGAAAATCTTGGGACACTGCTCAGAATTGTGCCAACCTTTCAACTGGTAGGTGCACCCTATGTGTCGCGGCCATCGCCAACGTGGTGCCCTTGAGGTGTGGACTACAACTCCCACCAGGCCCCAGTCAGCACAGCTGGGAGCTGGAGCTCAGGACTTCTGAGGGGCACCAGGTTGGCAAAGACTTTTCTAGGGAGAGTCTGTTCTGTTATCTGTAGACCTGGTCACAAGATGTTCAGAAAATCACTTTAAATAAATCTCCCTGCAAATTCGTTTCTGCTGTTTGTGGCATTAGGCAGTGTAACTGAGGTTGAAAAGTAAACCACAAATGTCACGAGTGCTGTTCTCGCACAGCCAACACACCAGAAAAGCTAATGCAAGAGCCATCCATGATCCTATGACTGTGTAACACTGGCCAGCTGGGTGGGTGCTCAGCACCTTTGTACTGTACGTTGGTGGCTCAGTTCTGAAAGGATGGGGTGTTTGTTGATTTAAATCTGTCCTTATTTGACCCCGCAGATCCAATCCACTGGGTAGGACTCCAGTGTGGCTGAAATGAATGAGAGCAGCACAGCGCTGCAAAGCCATTTATTTCAGTGGGTCTCACACAGGGACCGTACCCAGTGGAATGAGCGTGAACCGGCGCAACTGTCTTCTGAGAAACTTCCCAAACCTTTGGAAATAGCTCGTACATAGTTCCTTTTCTGTCCATAGATCTTACAGCTTGTATCTGTTATCATCTCTCTTGTCTAGGAATGTAAAAGTGCTCCTAAAGATGTGTAATAAATAAATAAAAATTCAATTGGATTTATTGTATGTAAAATAATAATAATAAAGCCTCTTCCTTCCCCTCCTCATTGTTATGTTACATTTTTTCATATGCTGTTTCACATTCACAGGTTTTCATCCTTTTGGAAAGGTGTTCATACATTGATGGGAAACTTGAGTCTTAGAATTTTATTAGGTTTCTAAACTCATCCCATATTTTAAGCCCTTGATCCCAGTAGAGTTCCTGCTGTTCCCTTTTGCCACCAGACTTTTTAACCAGTATGATTATATAATCATGTATCTGAATCTTTCCCCACCCACCTATGCCTCCTCATTTCCCACCTGTTATTGAGGCCATTATTTCAGAAGGCGCAGGAGCTGGTAGTTTTCAACCTCACCCTGTCCTTCCTCCAAGCTTGCTGTTTGAGGTAGGCAGGCACAAGGAAAGAGACAGCGCTCTGCCATTTAAGCCCAGTTCCTGAACGCGTGTGTGTGTGTGTGTGTGTGTGTGTGTGGTGGTCAAAGTGGCAGAAACATTACTTGGTTCCCACAACCTCTTTCGCTGGGCGTATTTAAGCAGAGGCTACCTGCCAGGGGTGCTGGACCTCTCTGAAGCATTCTGCAATGCAGGTATTAATACTACGCAGCTCGAAGCAATAGGATGAATCAAAGCGGGCTCCTCTCGGAATAAAAATTATCCAAACCGAAAAGTATGGTTCCAGAAAAAGGAACTTTACTAACAGAACTTTCTTCAAAACAGACTTACAACAATAACGAAACATTCAAACAGTTGCATAAAAGCATGTGCTTCTCATGTGCTTTTCTTTCCCAGTTTCTAACACTGCTTGGGAGCTGTGGTAGATGTAACGCCCTCTATGTTGCGCGAGGGTGACAGGAGTTCTCCTCATCATGGCATTGCTGCTTCCTGGCTCTGGGGTAGGTCAGAGGAGGAGAAGAGGAAAGAGTGAGTGACCTTGCAAGATTACCTTTTCTCCAAACTGTGAAGACCCAGAGATTACAACCTTTCTCCATAGGGGAGGCGTTCCATCCCATGGATCAATTAAATTGCTCTTTCCTGAACCTTTTCCCAACCCCACAACATCCTTTCTGAGGTGAGGCCACCAGAACGGTGCATGGTATTATTCTAAACGCAATTGCACTATAGATAGGAAAAATTCTCCAAAACCTCACCTTCAACTCTGAGCCTGGCTCTGGCCGGGAAGGGCGGGGTATAAATAAATTAATAATAATATTAATTATTATTATTATTTTAAAGGAGAGGGTGGGAGGTGCTTCAGAGAGCAATTTACTAACCCATTTCCTGCAGTGCCTTAAATTTCTCTCCCCCCCCAACTCCAAACCAAATCGTCATTATTTTTGCATGGTAATAGCACAAATTTTATGGCCTACTCCAGGGGTCTGCAACCCGCGGCTCCGGAGCCGCATGTGGCTCTTTTACACCTTTGCCGCGGCTCCGGGGCGGATACTAGCGAGGGGAGGAGGCGCATTGTGTGCCCTGACACTCCCCACTGTTTTAAATGTCGCAATGGTTTTGCAGCTCCCAGTTTTTTTTTCTTCGGTCCAAGTGGCTCTTTTTGTCTTAAAGGTTGCAGACCCCTGGCCTACTCACATCTGGGTCTTTGGTGGTCGAGCTTGCCTCTGCAATGCGTGTGGGGGTGTGTGACACGGTTGCCCTTGACTACTAGCCCCTGCTCAACCCCCGCCATGCTGGAATTTCAGCTAAAGCTTCTACGACAGACAGTCGCCCAATAGGACAAGAATTAGTCTGTCTTGTCACTCATGAGGCTGCTGCACTTAAGTTTTTCTATACAGTAAGAACTGAACAGGAGCTTCATGAACAATGCTTAAGAATAAGCTGCCCACACATCAGCAAAAGACCAGGGCACTTGCATAGATACCTGATCATCAGCAAATGCAACAAAGGCAAAGCCTCCGAAGGGTTATTCAATGAAGACATCAGTGACTTCTCCAAACCGGCAAATAAGCTCACAAGTATCATTTGCATTCATGTCTTTGGTGCAACCCCGAACACACAGCTTCCTCGGATTTGAAAATTCCTCTGAAGTTGGCTGGTGCCAATGCAGAACAAAAGATTATTATTATTTATTGGATTTTTTATATTAAAAAACAATTTTAAAAGCAATTTAAAAAGAAGCAGTACCCTCTTGCTGGGCAGCAGCAGTCCTTATGAAGCCTGTCAGGCCCCGCCCTGGGCCAGGTGGAGAGAGGCAGGATCAGGCCCCTCAGACTCTCAGCAGGGTGGTCCTTGCTGGGAAGTGCAGCAGCAGCAGTCCTTAGATTTTAATTAATACAAATGTTTTTGTCTAGCTGTTTTAATAACCAACATACTGCATGCAGAGTTGTGTACACACATATCTGCTCTCTTGCACAGAAGCCCTTCTGCTATGAACACTTCACACATTTCCGTGTGCCTGTGCAGTAAAGCCACCGGGAACAGAACTTACGTCAAGCTTAGAAGACACTCCTTTTTTGGAGAAATGGAGAGAAAAAGAACAACCATCTCTGGATTCATCTGTGCTTCTGAGCAAACACCGTGAGAGATTAACATGACACTTCGGCTTAAATCGCAAGGAAGCTTCCTTGAGGTTCTATTTCAGAAGTTGGGATCGAATGTGGCGCTCCAAGCCTCTCTACCATGACTTTCATCTGTGCTTCGTAGTCTGCAAATCTCACCAGTCCGATCCGCTTCGACTGGCTGGATCTGCAATCAGTCATCACCTAGGGTCAGGAGCAGAGATGAGATGGCTGTAACAACAATGGCATTGCACTACCAATTACGTACCAATTCTACCCAGCTATTTCATGGGTTGAATTTCAAAATTAAGTAGTGCGAAAAATAATGTTTGATGATTTTCAGCGGGAGGTTTCACCCTGCTTTCATCATCTTCCCTTGCTAACAGCTGCAGCCTAGAGACCAGGCTCCTCTGTCCCTCAACAGCCACTCTGTCTGGCTGCAGCAGAGGGAGAGAATGGAGAGAGGGCCACTCCATGAATTCTGCCGAGAAACCAGCTCAGCCATGTAACTTTCGGGGTTCTCTCTCTCTCGACTCAGATTTAGACAAACAACCCCAGCTACCAGCATGAAAAGGTCAGAACTCTTCCTTTTTTTACCACAATGACTTCAGCTGACCAAACTCAATACCGAAACGGACTAAGACCGCAAACTGAACTGAATTCTGAAACAGATGCAGTTGCTCAGTCCCAGTCCCTTGCTTCAGTGGCCCTCAAGGAAAGACTTGTTTCCATCATGAGCTGAGTGAACCACAGCCACTTAGTCCCAGCGCCAAAGGGGAAAAAAGTCCGAGGGAGCAAATGGTATCTCAACAATCCTGTTCCCAAAAAGAAATTTCTGTTCCCGATACAAGGCTCGGATACCATTTTTTATGGTTATTTATTTTTGGGTAACTTCAACAGTTCTTGCAGAGGGTGAAGCGATATCTCTAAGAAACCACAACAAACAGCAGTTACATTTTGATGCTTTGGCCAGTCTTGGCTCATGGAAGGGTAGTTACGCCAGATACCTGGACTCTTGAGAACTGCTCCAAATCTGCTGAAGAACTCCTCCAGTTCGCGCTCGGACGTTTCCCATGCGAGCCCATAAACCACCAGGTCAGCGGTACCAAGACATTCTTGTTTCACATCCATTTCCTCTATTTTCCTCTTCTTGCCTAAAGATAGATGTGTCCGTCAAACACAGTCAGCACTTTTAAAAATAGCTAAACAAATATTCCCATTAGTTGCACTGAAAAATTTGAGTGAAGCAGATCATTCTAGAGCTACATGAAACTCAATCCTAGGTTACTCATTGGGTTTAAGTTTTTCACTCTGAAGTACCGCTGTGTTCAAATGGGGCCAATTCCTTAATAACTATTTAGGATTGCAGCCTTGAGGTGTATTTGCTTTTGTTTTGTTTTGTTTACCAATTGCTCCCACTTGCATTTTGGGGGAAGTTTTATTTGAATCCTTTTCATCTTTAAAACTACTGTTAGGCGTGTCCCATATATTTAAAAGATGAAAAGAAACCATGTAATTTAGTTGATCAGTGAGGGGGTCTGAAAATAAAAGATGCCAAATTGCCTAACAATTTGAGCAGCTTATAGGGCTTTGGAAATCTAGGACAAACTAAAAGAAACTTGATTATCCGTATATAGGTTTTCATAGTCAAAGAACCCATAATTCTTTCTTTTTTTAAAGAGCAATACAGCACATAAAAGCAAGGACTGAGCCATTTCAGAGCACACGGGAAACTGAAGCTTCCCTGGCAGTACACAGCTCAGAGAATGCTTGCATCACCTTTGGGACACAGAATCAGAGTTGGAAGGGACCTCTGAGGGTCATCTAGTCCAACCCCTGCAATGAAGGAACCTCAACTCAAGCAGCTGTGATGGATGGGCCATGCAGCCATCTCCCATCGGAGAGCATAAAGCAGCCAGTTAAATCTCTTCCCTTCCATTTACCCCTATTAGGACACAAAAGCAATAGCCTCATGTCTGGGAAAGGGAAGGGAAGGCAGAAAAGAGGTACGGTTTGGCTTTAAGGGCATAGCAATCTGCTCTTTTACTCTTGAGCAAGAATTTCATGTCTGAGAGGCAGCTAGGCAGCATCTTACCCACCTTAACATGCGCAACACATGCACAGAAGTGGGGCAGGGCAAGATCCCCCCCCCTCCACTACTCTGAAGTAAATAACCCCGTTGGTGTTTTTTGCAGCGTCTGAGGAGCTTGCTGCTTTGCAGGCTGTTGGGCAATTGGCTGTGGCTGCAGGGGGAGGGGGAGAGAGCTGAGGCAGAGACGGTTTTGCAGGGATTGTAACTGTTTTGTGCGGTGACATCTCTGCAAAACCGTATTTGCAAAACTGATCTTTGCCTCGGCTCTCCTGTGGAAAACTGTTACGATCCCTGCAAACATTTCATCACGCCCCCAATTTTTTAAATTAATTTTCCAAATTTATAACAAACATAAAAGAAAAACATTACAATCTAAAAAAGACAAACGAACAAACATATATCCTAACTGTTAAAATTCCAATTTAATTATCATTACTGGATGACTTCCTCGAGTCCCCCTAGCTGAGTTTCCATACAACTCATTGTAGCGGTTTTCCAATATCCCTGCAAACATTTCAAACGATTTCTCGGTACACCCCCAGTCACACCCGTGCCCAACATACACGCATGCACGCTTCCGCATGATAAGCTTTGCAGGCTTCAGACTTCATATAACAAGCTGATCTGCATACAGTGCAAATGATTCTAAGAACCTGGGGGTGCAGAAAGGCCGCCCCTGGACCGGGAGGCTCCATAAGGACTTAGGAAAAGCTTGGCTACTGGATGAGGCCAAGCGAGGCCCCTTCCTCCTATCCTCGCAGCAAGGAGCCCCCCAGAGATGCCCTTACCCGCAAGCAGGATTCGAACGCAGGACCAGCCGCCCTCTCCCTTCCCTGGTTCCCAGCAAGGGGGAGTCCCACGCGTTGGCTGCCTGCGGTGCTACTTATCTCTCTCCCCCCCCCATTTCTTTGTTTATTGCATTTATTATCCCACCTTCCCCCCCCCCATGATCACCTGGTTCTCTCCCTCCTCCACGTGTCATCCCAACAACCATCCTGCGAGGTAGGTTAGGTCGAGAGGCAGTGAAGGGCCCACGGCCACCCAGTGAGTCCCACGGCCGAGTGGGGATTCGAACCCAGGTCCTTAGCCCGACACTCTAACCATTATACCACGCTGCCGCCCCTCCGTGCCATGTGGGCCGGCCCTCAGAACGGGGTCAGGGTTAGGGCTCTCCCGTCTCTTCCCTCCCGCCTCTCAACGCGGGAGCTGGGAGCGTTAACGTGTTCGCGCGTTCACACGAGGGCTGAACGCGCGAGTACCCGGATGTCTCGGCCTCTTCCCGGCCTGCCCCTCCCCGCTTGGCGCCGCCGCCCATCATGCACCGCGGCAGCGTCGCCAGCGCCGGAGCGGAAGCCCCCTCCTCTTCTGGGCGGGAGAGGGCGCCTTCTCCCCGCCGCGGCGCCTTCTGGGATTTGTAGCCCCGACGCCCTTGCCGCGCGTGCCCGCCTCCTCTCCCCGGTCCGCTGGCCAAGACTACATCTCCCGTCGGCCCGCGCGGCTTGTTTTCCTTCAAACCCCCCGAGCGAGCCCTCTCCCTCCCTCGCCTCCTGACAGGGCTCCCTGACAGGATTGTCCCTCGCCGGCCACTGTTCGGGCCTCCGTCACCGCCTCGCCTCTCGCGCCGTCCACTCCCTCGTTTCCCCCCTCCCTTTTCCCGCCCACCCTTTCGAAGACCTTTGACCCCCAGCCCCCTCCTCCTCCTCCGTTGTTATGTCGGGCCTCGGCGGCGGCGGCGGCAACACCACCACCCTCAGCACCCCTTAAGAGCGCGCGCCCGCCGGGCCCCCCTCCCTCTCGCCTGCCCGCCCGCCCTTTTTCTCCCCCTCAGCCGCCTCGCGCGCGCGCAGCCCAGCGCCCCGCCCCTCCCCCCCCCGGCGCCAAAACCGCGCCCGAGTAACGGTCGGCCGCGCGCGCTCCCGTCTGCCTGCCCTGCCTCCTCCCGCTCCCTCCTGCTCGCTCCCGCTCTCTGCCCCCCCTCCCCCCGCGGCCGCTCTTGTCCTCCGCCGCCCCCCCCCCGACCTCCTCGCGCGCGCGCGCCTGCCGGGAGCGCCCCCCCCCCGCTTGTTTTCCCCTCGGAGGAAGATGAAGGAGATGAAGCAGAGGAGGAAGAAGGAGCGCACGTGGGCCGAGGCCGCCCGCCTGGTGAGAAAGTGGGGGGGGGGGCTGGAAGGAAGAATAAGCCCCTCGCGTGGGGTTTTTATTTCTTTTTGTGTGTGCATTGGGGGGGGTGTTATGGGGCGGAGGGCTCTTCCTTGTCTCTCCCTTTGTCAGTGTGTGGGGCGGGGAGGGAGGAGCTGCTTCCCCATAGGAGAACCCCTCGCCTTTGCCAGGTGGGAGAGCTACGGGGGCACAACTCCCACTCCCCCCTCGACTCTCCCGGGTGACCCCCGTGGGGTGTCAAAGAAGCACCCCCACGAGGATGGGCGTAAGAATGAGGGTAAGGCCACGCAGGAGGGTCAAAACTTGAAATTCCCCCCAGTTTGGTCTTAGGCCCTGCACAGGATAAACAAAGTGGAGGTGGGAAACGTGTAAAGCCCTCCAGGTGATGCTGGACTACAACTCCCATCATCCCCTGACCATATTGGCATTGGTTCAACAGCACTCGGAGGGCCTCCCCATTCCCCTGATACAGAATCTCTGTCGTAAGGATGCCAGGATGCTGCTGGATCAGGCCAAAGATTTGTCTAGTCCACCATCCTGTTCTCACAGTGGCCAACCAGACCCCTTGGCAGTAAGTCTGCAAGGAGAACCAGAATGCATCTCTGCTCTCCTGGATGTAATTCTTAACAGCTGGTATTGAGAGGCATGCTGCATCTGACAGTGGAAGAATAACATAACGGTCCTGCATAGCACCTATAGATATCCTTGTGTTCCATGAATTTTTATAATCCACCATTAAAGCCATCGAGGCTGGTTGCCATCATGCTTTGGTAAGAAGTGTCACAGTTCTGTGAAAAAGAACTTTCTTTTCTCTTGACCTTTCAGCTTCATTGGATTGTCACATGTACTAGTGTTATGAGAGAGGGGCAAAACCTTTTTATAAACTTCTGAAATGCCCCAACTTGACTTTTATCCAAACGAAAAAGTCCCAAATGATGTAACCATTTCTCATAGGAGAGCTGCTGCAGACCCCAGTCATTTTTACTGCTTCCTTCTGAAGTGAAATTACTATACACAATATTCCAAATGTGGTCACATGTCCAAGGTGCTAACATCACATTTATGTTTGTGTGTAGGTTCTGTGAAGGCTGTGCTAGTAATACACAAGTTCATCTACAAACAAATGACTGTTGCTTCAGTCTCCCTAGAATAGGGAGAAACAATACAGTGGTACCTTGGTTTTCAAACATCTCTGTTGACAAACATTTCAGTTTTTGAACGCTGTAAACATGGAAGTGAATGCTTTGGTTTTTGAACATGCCTCAGAAGTCGAACATGCCATGCGGCTTCCGTATTGAGTTTTTTGTTTTTGAACACTTCAGAACTCAAACGGTCTTCTGGAACAGATTACGTTCAAAAACCAAGGTACCACTGTAATAATATTTAGAGGGGTAGCCATGTTACAACACAATCATAGCCATGTCTACTCAGAATTAAGCCCCATTGAATTCAGTAGGACTTACTCTAATGTAAGTGGGGTTAGGATTGAAATCATTATGATACAGCCTTCTTGTGGGTAACTGATGAAATGGGTCACAAGACTGAGTGATTTTACAATAATATTCTTCACATTTGTATAATGCTTTCAAATGTTCAAAATGATTCATATGCCTATAATGTAAGTTAGTGTTTTCCCCAGATGGACAGGTTTAAGGCTGAGATAGACATGTGTGTCTGAGGCCAACTTTTAAGTTCATTGCACACTTGAGATTCAAACTCAAACACTTGCATATTTGTAGCTCAACCTCATACCTACTGCAGCACACCAGCTTTGCAATAAGGATCCTATAATGGGAAGAGAGGAGCCCGTCAGGAAATAATGAAGCATTGGACTGGAATTCCATTTTGTGTATTTAGAAATTTTTCAATGCAACAGGGATTTATACTTCATTCATTCTCCATAGAGCACTCCCTCAGGATGCAAGAAATTTGAGAGCTTGTCCTATAATTTATACTTATGTCATGGGGCTTGGAATGAGTTACACAGAAATTGTCTGTAGCATAGTATATGGTTGCACAGTTCTTTCCACATTAGAGGCAAGATACAATGTGGTAGAATAAACTTTTTTTGGAAAGATTGCTTCTGGTTCAGGGTATGAAAATGAATTTCCAAGCTCAGGGTTAGTCACCTCTGTTTTCCTGATATATACTTATCTTATGTGTAAGTAAAGAGTCATCTCTGTTTAAGTTCATTCATGTTGGCATAAGCATGTCAGATACAGTGGTACCTCGGGTTACATACGCTTCAGGTTACATACCGTATTTTTCGCCCTATAGGACGCACTTTCTACCCCTCCAAAAATGAAGGGGAAATGTGTGTGCGTCCTATGGGGCGAATACAGGCTTTCGCTGAAGCCTGGAGAGCGAGAGGGGTCAGTGCGCACCGACCCCTCTCGCTCTTCCAGGCTTCAGGAGAGCCCCAGCGCCAGCCCCACAAGCTCGGGGGACAGCGGGGAGGTGGAACGCCGCCATCCCGCTGTCTCCTGATGTGGTTTGGAGGCTGAAGGCAGGGAGACGCGTGCTTCTCCCTGCCACCAGCCCCGCAAGCTCGGGGGACAGCGGGGAGGCGCAGCGCGCCATCCTGCTGTCCCCGGACCTGGTCTGAAGGCTGGCGGCGGGGAGAAGAGCGCTTCTCCCCGCTGCCGGCCCCACAAGCTCCGGGGACAGCGGGGAGGCGCAGCGCACCTTCCCGCTGTCTCTGGACCTGGTCTGAAGGCTGGCGGGGGGAGAAGAGCGCTTCTCCCCGCTGCCGGCCCCATAAGCGCCGGGGGGGGGAATAAAATTTTTTGCTTTATTTCTCCCCCCCCCCCAAAAAAAACCAGGTGCGTCCTATGGGCCGGTGCGTCCTATGGGGCGAAAAATACGGTATGTTTCAGGTAACAGACTCCGCTAACCCAGAAATAGTAGCTCGGGTTAAGAACTTTGCTTCAGGATGAGAACTGAAATGGTGCAGCAGCGGTGCGGCAGCAGCGGGAGGCCTCATTAGCTAAAGTGGTGCTTCAGGTTAAGAACAGTTTCAGGTTAAGAACGGACCTCCGGAACGAATTAAGTACGTAACCATAGGTACCACTGTATATCTGTGTTGCCTGACTATGGTAGGGACTTTTAGTACCATGATAACACTGTTACTGTATTGTATATTGACTTGCTGGGCAGAGGAAATTCAAAGAATGCCAGGTGTCTTTCTAGATGGAGGTTATTTCTCACTTCATTAGACATACCTGTGACATACATGTGATGGAAAGAGAAGCTAAAATGCTACTCCCATGTTTATCTAGGACTCTAGAGCAGGGGTCAGCAAGGTTTACCGGCCATGGGCCGGATCACTCCCATGGAGATCGTCCGTAGGCCGGACTGGCACAGTGCGATGCCAGAAATTGCATCTGTGCATGTCCGTGGCACCAGAAATCGCTTCAGCGCATGCCCAGACGTCGAAAATCACTCCTGTGCAGAAGTGATTTTCAGCGTCTGGACATGCCAAGATGTGATTTCCAGTATCTGCACATGCGCAGACGCGATTTCTGGTGCTGCTCGGAGAGTCACTGTGCTGTTTAGCACAGCGTGTGGGGGGCTCACCGAGCGGGTGGCTTGGTTCGGGGGCGGCTCATGGGTCGGTAAAACGGTCTTTGTGGGCCGCACATTGCTGACCCCTGCTCTAGAGGCAGGGCACTATCTCCTCCCCACAATATGTGTAAAGAGAAAAGTTTCTCCTATGTAGTAGTAATTGGTACACACATTGCAGAGTTGAGGCAGGACTTGGGAATCTCTTACATCTGTTTAATACATTTTTAAAAAGAAAACTCAATAAAGCCTGGGAAAGTTTGTGTGCCCACTGGTTCTCATCTTCAGAATGACACGGGGACATCTGTTTCCACATTTTAAGCCTTGCAGCAAAGGGAGAAGAATTTTGCCTCCTGTTGTCATTTCCACATAAGATTCCACAGTGACAAGTTGCTGCAACGTCTGAGGCAGGAAGGCATCCCATGGAAATTGTTTCTCCTGCTCTGGATGTTCTCACATTCTTAGTTTCCCATTGGCTGAAACAAGGAGGTGCTATGGAAGAAAGTGAAAGAATGGGCCACTATAGAGCATTGGTTCATTGCTGCCTAGTGCTATGTCTGGGTAGAAGCTGGGAATCATATTCTCATGTCCAATTGGGAAGGACTGCTTCTTAAAGCAGAATTGTGTTTCCCCCTTTTATGAAAGGAAATCCTGTGAGACTAGATTTACCATTTATTCTCGTTCTCCTTCCATAAGAACTGTATTGATGTAGACTGCCTGGCTCATCATACATTATGGTTAGTTGAGGTAATTTTCACTGTCCTTTTTACAAAGGAGAAACTTTCTTTAAAAATAGAGGAAGCCTCCTGTCCTCTTTTGCGCAGGGATAGATTTTAAACAAGGGTTTTAAAGGCCCACAGAAGGAGTTATTTTCCAGAAGAAAGTGACTTTTTAATTCCATTTTCTTGTTCGATGTGAGGGGTGTTCATGCAGGTGTGAGGGAGATACAAAGGTTTTCATTAATGGTTGAGAAAGTGAGAAGTGTAGGCTCTTAGAGGCGAATGCATGTGTGTTCCCATTTATGGTAAGAAGTAGGCGTTCTTCCTGAGAAAGCTGCCAGCAGTTAGTAGATCCTGATTAAATTTCTCAATATTACTAAAATATATCGCCTCTAGGTATGGGCAGAATTTCTGGCTTGCTTTGTTAGAGGCTTAAGGAAACAATTTTGTGGTGTCATTAGAAGTAGATAAATTAGCAACCTTTCACCTCTGGAGCGGAGCCATGTTTTTGATACCTTCAGTATTATACTTACTTACCTAGGACTGACTTTTGACTAGGCATGTGTAGTACAGTCCGTAAGACTGCAGTGGTATAGACCTGGACTTAACCCCAATGGCACACGATGGGAGTTCTTCCAACTAAAAATGCATTGGATTTTGCTCCAAGAATATGAAGCTTCTCTGCTTTAGTGTTTTCCAGCA